GACGTGTGCTCTTCCGATCTAATGATGTATCATGTTATTGATGTATGTTTAACTCAAAAACATATATAATATAATTGAATCAAAGAAAAACTGTCAACAAAACGCATTTAGTTATTTTAACAACTTTTTTTTCTCATTGTACGTCGGAGCAAATCTGCCATTTTTTAACTGGTGTATATTATACGAGCGTTCGCCAGAAACGTGCGAACGATGCAGCTTCGACAAAGGCTCACCTTATCAGGTGATGGTGCGGCCACGTGGGGTGGAGGAAGTGGAAGTGGCTGGGTCTGTTGCCGTCGACGGGGATGAGAGAGCTCGTCGCTGCTCCGTGTAATCGCCAGGGCCCGCCGGTGGAATTAGTCCGACGACCAGGCCGGGTGAACCCCGCGTAGTTCCGCGGTCTGCATCAGGACGGCTCCATCGATACAGCCGATCGAGAAGCCCCCGGCTCACGCCCTCCTACGCGGTCGAGTCGTTTCCTCCGTTGTCGTCGTTGTCCTGGCGTACGTCACCTACTCAGGCTCGGCAACGCGCTGACCGCGATCTGCGAAAGAGAGAAGAAATAGGTATAAGAGAGAGGCTCTAAGTGTCGAGAGACTTAGATTTATTATTGAGAGAAAGAGAGAGAGAGAGAGAGAGAGAGAAGAACCGGGAGAGCGATTTCGAGCAAGGACATCGAGAAGCGCGAACGATTTATAGTCCTTCGAAGGACCCTAAAGTTCACCGAAATCCGTTCGTATACCACCATACCACCTGTCTCGTCCCTCTGCACGTTCCCAGGAGTTAAGATCTCTTTTTCACGGACTCGCGCGAGTAGATTTATCACGGGGATTTTTGGGAGGGTTAATCAGCTTCCTTATCATAATTCGCGAATCAATGTATTTGTAGTTGGAAACGGTACATACTTGAGAAACAATTACGAGGAAAACGTAGATAGAAATATTTGTGCGAAAGAGAAGTGCTTCTCGAATTTTTTAATAGTCATTATACTTATGTAAAAGTTGTTGAAAGTTGTTGAAAATAAGAAAAAATTGTGTTGGAAATCTTGTCCGGATTTAGAGATAGTTATTTCTTTAGCATATTTACTATAAGAAAGGAAAAGAGAGAAAATACATATTAAACAATTTATTATCAAACAAGTCTATATATATATATATATATATATATATTTATTTATTTATTTATTTTTGTATATATATTTTTTTATAATATATATTTGTGTGATTTTTGAAAAATATGTGTATATTTTCATATACAATTTTGTGTACCGATATCGAAATTTTTCATTAAGTGCATTTCCCGCCAAGAGAAAATCAAGTGAAAATTAGCCAAGTTTCAATGGAATAGAAATATAATTGCATTGAATATTTCAACAGAGATATTTTTCTCAGTTATTTTTAGGAATCGATTACTATAATGATTGTCCCTACATTATAGAGGCAATGTTTACTTCACTTTACTACACATTATTTTACGTCAAGAAACAAAAGGTCGGTAAACCACGTTGAAAGAATGATACTTCGCGTTAGAAAAAGAACGTCATGGATGTCTAGCACTAAAGAGAAGTCTAAAGAACAAAAAAGAAACGTGGTGAATGGAGATGGTGTAGGAGCGTTCCCTGTTTTTGTTAAAATGAACTGGCTTCAAGCCCAATTCGTAATGCTGCAAAGCAGCAGGGATTCGCATTTGCTTCTATCAAGATAAAAGTACATTTACTCGCAATGGATTTTACACAATTTCCTCTTTTTCACTATTTAAACACAAACAGAAAGACGGTATTTTGTCACGTAATGAATATTCTAATATATTTCAAATATTTATAAACTTTACATACAGATATATTTTTACATTTTATTGACTTACTTTAACGCAATTATTTTATGCAAAAAATGCAAAAAAGCCGTACAATCGTATTCTTACTTTCTTCGCTTTATAATATGAGATAATTATTTATAATATAATTATAATTATTTATAGTTTGCTTTATTTATAATGCAGATAGAAATTAGTTTATTATTATATTATATATATTAGTTTATAAATTTATTATTGTAAAAAATTGGATCTCCTGTATTGTCTCTTCTATATAGATCGCTATTTTTATGCACAAATCTATTTTTTATTATTTCATTTGTAGCCCTGAACTGACAAATAGGAGCTATTTCTCTTCGATTTAACATATACACAAATTTCATTCAAGTTTGATATTCAAAGAGCTAAAATTATTCGTTTCGAAAAAAACGGCGTTATATTAACTAAATTCAAGTAAGCGTACTTCAAGCATTATCAGTCATAGCGTTGTCGCACGATATACGCATTCGTTATCCGTCGCGGCGAAATTAATCAGAAATTCGTCCCCGCAAGTGCTCGCATTCACACCGAAAACTTCCACGTCGCGTTCCCAAGCGCGCGAAACTCGCCGCCGCTTCGCGACCGTGTTACGTGAAACTTCGCGAAAGTGCGGACGCTCGTTAATCCATAAAGCGGCGCGGTTTCGCAGACTGCAGCTGCAAGCTGTCGCTGGCGAAATGCGCCGGCGTGTTTCACCTTTAAACTTCGGTTTGATAGGGCTCGCGAAGAGGGCGCCCTTTGATGGCTTCATTTCGCGACACTCCTCTTGATGTATCAGCTGCTCAGACACGATTGAGATGATTAAGTGTAGGACCGGGGAGGGGGGGGAGGGGGGGGGAGGGAAGGGGAGAGGTAAATGTATTTGATAACACCACGCCCCGGGGATATAAGGGAAAGCTACGAGATTAAAAATGTAATGCACTTAGTTTGTATTCCTGCACGTGCTCGACTTGCTGATCCCGATAAAATATTCATTTAATTTTCGAAGAGATACATCTATGTCTCTTCGAAAAAATGTAGATAAATTCATAATGATTCGATAATCATTATATGAAAATACGAAACTTACAAATGATTTATAATCTTTTTCATTTGCTCGACTGTCAAGTAAATATTTCGTGGATTTAAGTTTCTTCATTTTTCGGTCACGTATATATTATATAATTTCTTGGGCGTTTTGTTCTTTCGAATGATAATCTCCCCAGCATGCAGAAAGTTACACGTCGCCGGTGGTGAAGAAGCAGCCAGCGTTCGTTATTGCACACCAACACGATTATCCGTCGGGAGTTGCTGTTGGTTCTTTGGAAACTCAGCGCATGGCAAGGAATACTTTATTAGCCGCGTCTAATGATCGACAATGGATGCGCTGGAGTAGCGGTAAAGCGAAGTTTAACTCCCGATTTCGCTATCGAGGCCACTTCCTTGAATCGATTCGGTTCGAATGAATCACGAAGATTCCACATTGACTCTGCCGGATAACTGTGTAAGCGGAGCACGTATAGTTAGCGTACAGCGCCGTGAATAACGTCTACTAATTTCGTGAAATTTCCTATTGTAGGCGTTTGGTCGCGTAAATCTCGCGCCCCGAGATAATGATCTTATATGATCACACGAGAAAAATTATGAGATATGAGAAAAGTTGGGGATTAGCTGTGGAAATATATCTGATTAAAAGTAAACTTTCGCGAAAGTCTCATAATAGGAGCGAGAGAAAAATGAGATATGGTCAATTATTAAAAAATAATGAATATTAAGATGTAATGAATTTTTTCATGCAAAAAACCAACTTATTTTTCTGTTATTTATTCTTCTTACTTTTAAAAAGCGATATAATCACAGTTAAGATTGTAGGGAAAAGAAGTTAGGACTATAACTTAAAAAAATAGTGGTTTATTCATTGTGGCCTTCTCGCATCTTTTTTTTAACTTTCAAATAGCTAATACTATTAGTTATATGCAATAAAGAACGTAAATGCATAATGTGCAGCGTAATGTTGTTTTAAAATCATCGCAATTTAACGGTTTAACGATCTCTGTTATTGCATCTTTATTATATGGTAAGCTTGCGTGGGAATAATTCGTTTCCACGACGCCGCGAAGTTTTTGTATTTCATTTTTCACAGAGACATAAAGCAGAGAGGTGCTTATAGAATGTATATTCAAAATATATTATTGTAACATTTTAGTAGCGTAAGGGCAAAAGTGCAGTCACACGCGATAGAACGTAGGTCGTAACATTTCGCGTGACACAGAAAATTTATTTGCGATTTCCTAAGCAAAATTTGCATTTGCTATTAGACAATGTTTGTCAAATTGACAAATACACAAATATTTGTTTCGCTATCAATATTCTTTCCAGCTTTTTTGATCAATTTAAGATCACTTGTCTCCTAACGAAAATTATAAAAATTGGAAATCCTTCATTCTCACGATTTAAAAATTTTTAATATCAAATGCCTAATTAATTAAATAAGTAATAGTAAATAATACTATCTAATTAATTAAATAAGTAATAGTAAATTTTAAAAATAAAAATTCTAAGAGATCTATAAATACTTGTAATCACTAAAAATCTATATTTCTTTTTTCTTGTATATTTCTTTAATTTGTTTAAATTCTTTTAATAATACAAAAAATAATGACAACTTGGCATCTGATAAAAATCTTTTTAGTTTATAATCGATTATCTGAAAAAACGAAGTTCATCAATGATTACAGAAAACATATTTGGCAACTGAGAACATTTTTCGTAAAAGTAATTATGATAATAAGAAATAATATATGTATCCGTATTATGATAAAAAGAATAAATTATTAGAAGATATAATTAGAAACAATTACCGTAATATTGCAAGCATATAAATATTTTAGGATGTTAGTAAGCGTTGTAAACTTCCGCAAATTTTAATTAAGGGATGCTGATTTCTGGAGCATTTCGACCGTTTACGTTTCTCGCGGACTACTAGTTACGTACGAGGGTGCGGGGATAAAATTTACAGCAGCTTGCTTAAGCTCATTTTGCACCAGACGAAGTTTATCTCGTTTGCGCTGGGTGCTCTGTGCATCGTCCTATTTTTCCGCGTCAGATTTTATGAAACCGCCGCCACTACTCTCTACGAAAGAAAGTTGGCGAATCTGAAGAACGTTCAGAAACTTTCGAGCTTTATTAGACTTGGGGTAGCATTCGTATTGTTATTGAAGCGAACTTTTGATGACTATATAATTAATTAGAGTGTTTTTGTGGTCGATACTTTTTGGCTTTTCATTAAAGGACAACAGAAACGTCTGTTATATACTATTAAATCTACAGTGTCAAATTTAACCATATTTAAGTTGCCACTGCTCCCACTTAAAATGTACAGTTATTTTTAACTAAACCAATATAGCTATTTTTTAAATAAAACAATGGAATTTAATCAAAATTTAAATTTGAACTGTTTTAAATTATTTAACTTCATTGTTTTGGGTAAAAATAATTATTTATTAAGTAGGAGCAGTGGCAACTAAAATAAGATTGAATTTGACACTATAGATTTAACAGTGTACGGATACAAAAGTAATTTTATTTGTCGAGTATACAATTATTATTATCTGTAATGTTATTTAGCGGACGAAGTATACACACCTTTTTTTATTTACGATTTTCTAATATGCAAAAATCCGATTATTCGGTCTTGAATTGATTATTTAGTTA